TGTTTATGAATCATTGTTAAATAGTGATGATATCAGGTGTTTGCGAAAAGTTGAACGTATCCTTCCCCACCCGTCACAAACACATACAAAGGCACGCCAATTGCTCACCTAAAACGAAACGCAAAATAGGGAATTGCATCGGACATCCTATTGTTAACTGATGCTTCAAATTCTGCAATGTTCTCAATATATTTACTGAGCCTTTGAATGTTGTAACCCTGATCAAAAACAATTGGTAAATATAGACAACAAAGGCCGGAGCTGCAGGAATATTGCTCGTGGAAGGGCGACCTCATTCCTCTTTTGATATGGTCTTTTATGCTAGCTGTTTGTCCACGGGATATTATACAGATACATGTATCTTAGTATGAAACAGATGAGGCAGTTTCACTAATCTCTTTTATTTCGAGTCCAGATGGATAAGTTAGTGGAAAGGAATTGGCTATTTTACCTTTATTGAACGATATCAGATCACTGATATACCGCAATCTCAAGTTAGTGGGATAGTGGTGTACAAAGTTGAAAAATATAATGTTTTGACATAGTCGAAGACGGTTCCTTTCTGCAATGGCAATATATGTATCTTTGTATGGATTTTCATGGAGCTTTGGAATCTAGTACAAAAGAGATATGGAGATATCTTCAGGTTTTAAAGTCAAGTCAAAAGTTGATGTATATAGGACTGATGCGTGGCTTCAGTTTTCTCAGTGACAGACAAATAAGAAATCCGAGGAAACGATGTCATAGTCCAATTACATGAGGAAGCAGGGAAGCAGGGCAACTCGCTGTTCAGAATTGAGTCACTTTACTATCCACGTCGGCATTTACTTGTCAAATCTCGCCAGTTGTAACCATACACATGCTTGTAGTTTCACCAGAGTGGTAACTTTGGCTTTTTTAATACATATTACTGAACGCCTCGGAATACAATACACGCTGCAATGTTCCAGCGTTATCGCCGCTGTGTGCGAATTGACTGGATCAGACGAATCAGTTACTGAAAGAACGATCAACGATCCACAATCAGATTACATGGACACGAAATCATCCAAGTCACAGAAACCGACCACCGATAACCATTTGTAGGCTCTTCCGACAAAAGCACGAGACATTCCCCATAAGTCCTTACAGTCGAACGAAATACATGGAACTGGAATACATTACATTGCAGGTTTTAACAAATCTTTTTCACTCGTTTTAAATGCATTAAAGATGACACTCTTTGTCCCATTTTCTTAATTTGCTCAAATGCTAAAGAGACTACAAGCTGTTGTCCGCCCTGTTAACTCAGAAGCTCACGTCTCGAAATAACGTCATGGTCTTCATGTCTAGTCGGTTATCAAAAGGACATCCTTAATTGTTCACCTGGATGCAACTGACGACAGAGGCTCACTAACGCGTTACTGACAACATAAAATAAGCCTTTTATAGTCCCCAAATAATTCTCATTGATCACCTGAAGGCTAAATATAAAACTTTTATGTCAGCTTCAAACACTTAATGTGTTTATTACAATGCACGTTACGTCTTAAGACAGCATTCTTGATCTGGAAACGTAATATATGAATATTTCCAGCAACATTTTACTGTAAGCCCGACTATTTGGAGGCAGTAAAATGTTAAGTTATTTTGGCGTGGACAGGCATATTGAATATTGTAAAATATGACTGCAGCAGGACATTTTATAAAGAACAAAAGACATCGTCTGAAAGTATATATTGGAAGATATGAAACGTCGAAAACATGCATACCACTTTCTTTTAAATATGCATCAAATCTATCTACGATTAAATTATTTTAATCCCATTTGCGCTTTTGGCACTCGTAGAAGGGCACTGTATTCTTTTGTAAATATCTATGACGTGCAATATGTCCGTAAGTGTACGAGTATAAGATATTAGTATGTTGAAGATGCGCTATACAGGTGCAATACTGGTCATTTTACCATAACGTATTCAACGATTTGAACTGTCACAGGCCACCTTTAGTGGTACCCGAAAAGTGCCCTGAAACAAATGACCCTCGTGAGGATTCTATAAGAAAACATAATAACTCCCATATGTTTTGTCTGCTTAATTTTGAGCAAATGGATACAATCGTGCTCACTTGCGTATTCCCTCGATTTCTAACGTACAGTAACATTTCATTGATGTCGTCTAATAGTACTATGACGTGACATTGACGTCACAATTCAGTGGAGTTTTTTAACAACTTCTGTAACCAATCACTGTGATGAATATGTGGTGGATATATAAAGCCGTATCTTCTCGTCTATGATTTGTAGCTGCATGGCTTCATATGAAAGATAGATTGACCTTACTACACCCCAATGCACGACAGTTCGAGTTCATCAGTGAACATAAACCGTACCAGCAGCCACAATTAAGCGTAAACTCTCGTCATGTTCTTCTGCAATATGTCCAAGGTGAAATAAATCTTACACCCACGACCACATGGTCCTGTTGCCCTTCGTCGTCTATCTCGTGATTTATTTCAGGTAATACTAGAAGTCACACCTATTTTTATTACCTCTTTTATGTATTCAACATTACATAAATTTCACCAAGGCGTAGCGTTTCCATTCAACAGTTGGCATTCTGTGGTCAAAGGTCGGATGTTTCAGCACCATATATACCATCATGTGCTTGGTTCGAGAAACGAGAACCAGGAAACGGATGTTAATGTTTCCAAAAGTGAACCCTACTTGGACCAATCCGATTGAAATCATATATTTTACTCCGAGATGATATCTCTCTACGCAGAGATTTGAGGACGCTCACTTAGAAGAAGAACTTTCTAATCAGCCAATCAGCGCCTAGATTTCTTAATCATCGGCACGAATGAACGAAGACAAGAATATAATCGGTGAGGTTTGAATTAAAAATATCAAGCCGCGCTTTGATACTGCTGTAGATAGTTTATACACGCTATCGTTTCTGAGCGCCATGACATCTACACCCCAAATGATGTACCATTGAGGGTATACTTGTGTTTTGTTGGGGTTTGCTGAGAACAGGGCAGTATAAGCCCACCTTTCCGCGAACACCTGGTATGATTCCTATTTGAAAATGATTCATAAACACATGTTCACGATACAGTCTGCTTTGAGCATATCTTGTGGCTCCAGAAAGGTTTTTTGTCGCTTTTATTTATTATTCAATATAAAACTATATGTCACAAGTCGTGCTTTTAACAATTCCAAACATTGGGTTCCAAACATTGACGAACAATGGACATATTTTGAGAAAGACGTATTCCATCGACTTGTTGAATTGATTTCTTACTGCATCAAAAACAGTGTTCCTATGCATTTATGGGCCCGCCTCCGTGGTCTAGTGGCGGAGCGTCCGCCCGGAAAGCGGAAAGTCCGGTGTTTGATCGCCGGCCGCGTCATACGACCAAAAGACGTTAAAAGATGGTACTTGTTGTTACCCTGTCTGTCGCCCTGCATTAAGGGGCTAAAACAAGGACTGGTCGGCTCGGAGTCAGTATACTGTGTCTGAGTGGGGTATTCATGTGCGGCTTGGTATCTCAGTGTGCTAGCACTATAAATTGGCATCAGTCCGGACTAGTACAAGCAGCCACACACACACACACACACACACACACACACATACACACACACACACGTGCATGCACGTCCCTATATAAGTGCAATAATCTCGGACGCGACGTTAAACCCAATTTCACCTCACCTCACCTATCCGTTTTTGCTTATGATTATGTATAGAGCGTCTATGCTGAGAGCGGAAGGTCGGTTGTTCTATCCCCGGCCGCGGCTCACCCAAAGACTAATAAATGGTCCTTGTTGTTACCCTACCTGGCGCTCGGGATTGGGGGATAAAACCGGCATACATGCACGTCGCTGTATGAGTGAAATAACGTTGAACGCGACGTTAAACCCCTATTTCACCTCACCTCACCATTCATGCTGATTTAATTTGATACTACAATTCGATTTCCAAAAATTATTACTTCTGATAGATATTAAATGTTAACCTTTTTAGAGATAAAACAGAGGTAAAATGACTCTTGTGATTGATCATATTCTCCTTAAATGTGAAATATGCCAATTCCATTTTCAGCATGAAAATAAACATCCGTGAAAGCAACACCTGCATCACAGGTGACATCAAAACATATACATGGTCAATTAAACCAATTGTCCATTGCTTTGTGTCGTGCTCTATTCTAGATATTATAATAACATGTTCATTATCCTAAAACGGATGTCTGTTATCCTATGAAACATACATGTAAATATTTCATCATGACCAAGCGATAGTATACTGAACCACTTCTAAGTGCTTGGAACGAACAGAAACTATATCTCAAGGAGACAGTTCTGTGTCAAATAGTTACGTGCATCACGATTCAGCTAAAAATACTAGTGTTGTTTTTTCCGTAATGGATGTGACAAGCAAACTTAACACATATACACATGACTCAGTCCTATTGTACATGTGATGCACTGCCTGCTGCTTTAAGCACGTTTAGCCTGAGTCTGTTGTGTGTGTCATGCATGTGTTGTTCAGCATCTGTTTACTGATACATCTGTTTACTGTACTGTGTTGAATAATGACGAAGAACCAGTACGTAACTGTTAATAGAAGCAATTTTGAAATGTTTGCATTTAAATTTATATAAATATAAAGAATCAAATAAAAAATATATAATCGTCTCTAACTCTGTGACGCCGCTTGTAGCAGTATGTGAGTAACACCTCAGCATGTAAATTAAATGTGGAAAGAAAGCCCAAATTAGTAAACATTTTCAATATTTCTAATGGATCATCTTTGGATTGAATCTGGGATTCAAACTTAAGATCAGCGGATCCCTGCACAGCGGCGACTTAAACCACTGGGCCTCCCGTGTCACCAAACAACATGAAAGGGACAGTTCCAGGAATTCCAACGAACTCACTTTCAACCTTTCTCATTGAAATAGGTTCACCACAATCAGTGACTATTCAGACAAAACACACGTTCTGGAAGAACAGATAAATAAATAGATTTATTCTATTGGATAATTCATAGATTAAATATATGTACAAATGAATTCGAAACAACGTTATTTACATAACAATGTCACATATGACAATGTGACATTTTCCCAATGGTTCAAGAAATTGCTACTCCATTGGATATTGTAACATGTTTTTGCCAATCATTGTCACTGAAGAACTGTCCATATATGATGGAATACGGAAGCAAAATAACTAGGACGCATATTTAGTGACATCCTTTTTTCACGCACAGCTCCATTCACCAGGAGCCAACAGGAGAACAGCAACTCCAAAGCGGTGCTTTGTCAATCAGTGTTCACTGGGAAAAACCCAACCCAGGCCTGTTCAGCTCAATGGCCGCGTCCGTACAGTGAGTCCAAGATGGCGGACGCATACGTTTGCTGCAGATATAACGGAGCTTATGTTGTTTCAGATGACGTCATTCATTTTGAGGGAGCTTTCTAATTAGAAACAGACATAATAAGTGACTTAATTAAATACTGTCGATACTGAATTATTAAACTATCTGTGAGACCCCACCCAGCGCCAAGTATAACATTGATGCGTTCAACACACTGCACAGTCTGCATATATAACCAGGGGCCATTCTTAAAAAGCAATCAACAGTAAAAACCGTCATACATTTCTGCAAGGTATGAGATAGGATCGCCTTAGCGCTACAAGGGGTCGCTTTGTAGGGATCTACGTGTGCTGGCGATCGTTATCCATAAACTACAAAACGACAGCTTTTACACATCAATGGTGTAATAATGGTGCAAAAACAAACACATTACACCTCATGTAAGTTTCAGATCATTTAGACCCTTTAATTACAACGCATTTTCAAAGTTCCCCTTCTATTAACATATTGTATCATTCTTAAAAGAGTATACATTCAACCTCAGCATATCCTACACTTGTATCATAATCTTTGAAGAAGCGACATAAGTGTTGGAAATATGATTCCTTTTTTACAGTTACAGTATGCTGGTATGAGTGAGACACCTTATTCAAAGGACCAAGTAGCATTAGTAATGAGATGATTTTTTTAAAACAAATTCTGCGAAATGCTGCCTTCATTGTATAATCATTTCATTACAATTGTCGTTAACTTTTTATAAACATGGCAAAATGATCTTAATAGAATGTCAACAACAAATGGGACTTTTATTTAAATGGCGCGATATATTTAAGTCGAAATAGTCTTTAGACAATTAGTAGTGAACAACACAAGTAACACTTGAATTGATAAAGTCAGCACTGTATGAACACAGCGGTGGATGTCATACTATCTCACATACCATTCCTTGTGATTGCCAAAACATAATAATGCAAAGACACAATAATAAATCAAATATAATAATTATAGACATTCTTTGATATACACATAATTGGTACTTCTGTCCGTTGGAATACATGTCTTAATAAATTATATGAACTCTGTTTAATACATACACATCAAGAAGACTTAATTTTACTTCAAAATATATAGATTTATTGTATATTAATCTCATCACCGGCACAAGTATGACGTTTATATAGAACAGAAACAGTTGATCCCGGAAGACGTAATACATACTATGACGTTAAAGTATTTTCACTTTCATTAACTAATAAGGTTTATGTAAACATACAATATAGTTTGAGAAATATAACTGGCAAAATACTGTACTAGTTGTTGGAGATAGCATGTTTCCTCTTAATTACGACAACAAAGTATGCTATTCAATAAAACAGTAATAAAAAAGTTTCATTTTGTCATTTCACGTTTCAGATGTGCAGTTTGTTAAGGAAAACTGATAACACTTGAATATATCGTCTCATATTAAAAACTACATGAATTGCATGGTTAAATATGTGGAATATGTAAAAGATTACGCCAGCAAACAACATGTTTGTTTCCGTAAATAAAACCTAATACACAGGAGAGGTTTAGAACAGGATCTACCATGAACATGTAACTTACGTTGAACGCAATGCACCAATTATTTTTCAAGAACAAAACATGTCAGAATTTCAAAAAGAAATGTTTAATCTGCATGTTTGAATTATTTGTATTATGAACATTTTTCAAGATCCTCCTGAATCATGTATATGATCGTCTTTGCTTACGTGTAACACGGGTCTGGAATTATGTTTTTCTTTCTTTTGATGACTTGTGTCTGAATGTTTATTTATACTAGACTCCCCTGTGTGTCCTCCGGAGGAATCTGGAACATCCTTTTCATCATTTCCAGGCTGGGTTTGTGGCATGAACGATGCCTGTCTTATCAATGATCGTAGCTGATGACCAAATATCTCCAACTGTGCAGCTTGTTCAGCCTTACGCTTCATCGCGTCCTCAGAATTAGGTGAATCCGACTTTTTTGAACTGTCCCTTCCTTTCTGAACTGACCATTCCTGCCTTGAACTTCCACCTGTCGATTCGGGTTTCTTGTCATCCGAGGATTCAGATGTCTTATTGTTGCTTTCTTGTTCCGATGAGCTGTGCTTTGGTTTGCTATCGGTGGTTTGATCATTTCTATCCCTGCCTGATGCCTTTGGTTCAGAAGCTATCTTTAGTGTCTTTGAACTGTCCCTTTCTTTCTGAACTGACCATTCCTGCTTTGAACTTCCACCTGTCGATTCGGGTTTCTTGTCATCCGAATATTCAGATGTCTTGTTTTTGCTTTCTGGTTCCAATGAGATGTTCCTTGGTTTGCTATCGGTGTTTATGTCCTTTCCATCTATGCCAGATGCCTTTGGTTCAGAAGCTTTTTTTAGTGTTACAATATCCTGTAGCTCTCTAGTTACTGATTTTGACTGTTGCATAAGATCCCGTATATCTCTCTGTGTCTCCAGCCCAAGCCAGTTTGGGAAGACACCAGCAAGTGGGTCTACTCTTGTAATAGCACCAAGAGGTGGTGCCGTTCCCTCTCTGGAGTCCATATTTTGTTTTGTCCCAGACGGACCCCCGTTTCCAGGAGTTCCAGAATCACCAACAACAGCAGCACTAATACCTATGTTTTGAGCTGGACCACCGTTAACCAATGGTAGAGTAAAAACTAATGCGCTTGGATCAGGAACAGGCTGACTCTGCAAATCTAAAGGCATCCCTCCACTAGTCATCACAGGCAGATGAAAATTTGAAGAAGCTTCTATGGTATCAATTAGTTGCCCAAACACCTGATCAAATGAAGATGGTATTACTTTCCCATTGTTTCCATCACCATTTTGTCCATTATTGCCGATATTTCCATTAGAACTCTGACCATTGCCATTGCCACCATTATTTCCGATTGCTTGACCATTATAACCACCCTCAGTACCATGACCATTGTCTGTGCCATTACCATTGTTACTATGACCATTATTATTTGCATTAACAATAGTACTTTGCAATTTTTTCTCACCGTTACCATTTGCAGTATGTCCATTGTCAGTATCAGTGCCATTGGGGCCACTGGGGCCACCGGTGAGCAAGTTCGTGCCATTATCACCTTTAGCTACCACCATATCTGTTGCATTGTTAGTGTTGTTCTGCACAATTACAGATGTATGTCTATTATCAACGACTTTTGAGTTTCCATTGTCACCCTTGGAAGAATGTCCATTGTCACCCTTGGAAGAATGTCCATTGTCACCCTTGGAAGAATGTCCATTGTCACCCTTGGAAGAATGCCCATTGTCACCCTTGGAAGAATGTCCATTGTCACCCTTGGAAGAATGCCCATTGTCACCCTTGGAAGAATGTCCATTGTCAACATTGGAAGAATGTCCATTGACACCATTGGAAGAATGTCCATTGTCACTATTGGAAGAATGTCCATTGTCACCTTTTGAGGAGGGGACACTGGTTTCGCTACCATTAGTTTGTCTGTTGAAAACTGTCCCGGCGAGACCCATTGGAGCACTTAGTCTGCCTGCCATTGCAGTTGGGACAAGTTCAGGAAGAGTAGATAAAAATCTGTTACTCCAGTTATTTAAAGCATGTTGAAATCCTAAAACACTGCCAAGTGCAGATGGCGATATCTCAGTGGCACGTTGGCGATATGTGCTTGGTGTAGTTGTTGCTTTGGGGGATTGTTGTGTTGCTCTTGGCTTAACGGTTGCTGGGGTTGCGGAGGTTGGTGGATTAGACATACTTGATGCAGCTGTTGGTTTGGCAGTTTCTGAAGTAACGGTTGTTGTTTGAGACGTGGAAGGTGTTGTCTTTGGCTTAACTTGTATGGAAGAAGTAGTAACTGAAGATGATGTTGTAACAAAGTTACCTGAAGAGGTGGTTATAATGGCAGTTGTCCGCCGAGATGATGTTTGTGTTGTACCTCTAGATTGTTGTTGTATCCCAGTGCTCAACTTTGAAATTAATGGTACTTCGTGCTTCACTGTCTTCATCTTTGATGATGTCATCTCAGTTGTACCAGTGCCTGAAGCTGTTGCTCCTGTCGATGTTTTTGTTGTTGTAGGATTGGTGGTCGTCGTCATAGCTGTAACTGTAGTTGTCTTCTCAAGTAACATGTCAGTTTCATTTGGTGTTGTTCCAATTGTTGCTGTTGTTGTCTCATGACTTGTAACCACTGTCGTCCCATTTTCAGATGTTAAAGTTTTTTCATTCGTTGTATTTCCCGATGATATGACACTGGAAGGTGACACTGATGATGATAGACCAGATGCGGTGCTAGTTTCAGTTCCAAAACTTGATGATGCGTTTGTTGACATTTGTGAAGATGCAGAATCCAGTTTTACATTTGTTGACACATGGTTGTTTGTTGTTAACTTTGTTGATGTACTTGACTGTGTTGATATCTGAATGGAGTCAGTTGTCGTAATTGCTGAAATATCTGCTGAAAAATGTGTATCGTTTGTTACCGAGTCATTCACAGTTATTAATGTCATGTCTAACTGGTTTGTAGTTGATGCTGTTGTTTCTGGAAACGACGATGGTGAAATGGATGACGTTCCCGATTCTATAGGTAAAGACGTCGTAGTAACCGCATCATTTGTTGGGATACGCGATATTGTTTTGGCAGTAGTGGTGACAGTTGAGGCATCATTAGACACATTATTTGTTGAAGAGATTGCAGCAGGAGTGAGTACAGGAGACGACGTAACTGTTTCTGTAGGATGCACAGTTGTTGTAGAAGCACTAGGCGCAATACGTTGTGTTAACGACTTGCCCCGCGCTGCTTTATGGCGTACAAGGTCAGCAGCAACAGCAGCCTGAGAACCTATTGTGGATTCCTTGTTAGAGACTGACCTTGTCATGGTATCTAGAGTAGAACTGTCTGTCGATGACGTGTCTGTGTCTTTTGTTGTCGTGATTGATGTAGGCATCACTGATGTCGGTGGCGAGATTGTAGAAGAACTTGTAAGACGAGTGCTTGTGAAAACTCTTGGCGTTGTACCATTTGAAGATACAATTCCAAATGTGGTAGAGGCGTCCGCTGATGTGGATTCCAATGCTTGTGTTGTTGTCATGCTTGTTGTTGCATCCGTAAGGACTGGAGTAGTTGTCGCCCGGGTCGTCGTAGTTGCAACTGTTGTGGTTGTTGTTGGACGTTGGGAAGTTGTGGTGGCACTTGTCGTTGCTTTTGATGTAAACGAAAACAGAGCAAGATCCAAGAAATCCAAAGAATCAATGGCAGCAATTATTTTGCTTTTTCCGTTTCCATTTCCATTTCCGTTTCCATTACCGTTTCCATTACTGTGGCCGTTTCCATTGCCATTTGACTGTTGGGACGACAGAAGTGTTTCACAGAAACTGCCTCCATAACCATCAGGGCAAACACAAACATAGGTACAGCCTTTAGATTTACATGTTCCTGTATTACACACATTACTTAAAAGGCTGCAGGCATCACTTAATCCCCGATCGGAGCAACCTCCATTGGTATCAACAACAAGGGGGCTGGGTTCGTTGTCAGGCCATATTGAATCTATTCTTGTCGCAGGTGCAGCTCTGAATACGCGCATAACGCACATCAATATAACAACCTTTGACAAAAGGCGATGAACCATGTTTGAATGAGTCATCCGGCAAATTTAGCAAGATCCAATATCACTATATGCTTCTGTCACATCCAGAAGAATCGCTCAGAAGATTTCCTCCACAACTCAAGGCATTTTTCAGAGTCCTCTTATGCGAACTCCAGGTAAGGGTGCTAAGATCCTTTGCCTGTAAAAAATAGCATAAAAATAAGGGAGTGATATTTTTTTCATTAACATTTGGATTCGTTTTGAAAAAGTGATGCTCAATTACTCTACAAGACATTTTTGACATGTACATCAGCTTTACATATTCTAGAGGCATGTATGTCAGACAATGTTAATTACATATGAATACAATGGGGCCTTGTGGCTGTCAAGCTGCCTCTTTAATGGCACTCCTAGGATTATTTCGAGGTTTCCTGACTGTTATATGCATCGTATCAATCAAACTGCATCATAAATGTCAACGTACAGTCATGTGTAGATATGATAGACGATATTTTTAGTTGATTGTTACTAAATTTATGCGGGCGTGCGAAAATAGATAAAATGCAGTGTTATGTTTATATCCGTCCTCTCTTTGTACCTACTGTCAATTATTCGTTACTTTTATTAACAACGTTGTCATTTGTCATATTCATCAAGGTGTGGCTTCTTCATGAATAATTAATTTTTTCTTTATCTATGGGTTGGTATGAATTTGGTATGGTATGAATTAAGACAAGATTTATCTTTAGATGAAGGAGAAATGCTTAACATGAAACTCATCTCAAGGTTTGGGAAACACAACGTCATGTAAGTACTAGGATTATTGTACTGAAATAAAGTTTCACGTATCTGTTCATAATGTGATCATGAGTACCTACGACTTCTATGCTTTGCGAATTATGGCTAAATCTAACAAAATATCAACACGTTGAAGCTTACATTAACTTTCACAAAGGAGGGGATTATTCTGCTATATAAGACGACTGTTACATTAGAATTAGAAAAAATGGCATACTGACCAAGATGACAAGTGTTTTTGCTTAAATGGTGTAATGGATAAATTCAATGGATAACATGAACACAAAATGGATATAAAAACGACAAACCTTTCCATAATCATAAGAAATCTCCGCTAAAATCAGAGTCGATTGTACGATTTCGAATATACCAAAATGATACTATGAGAATAACTAACATGAAGTATACTTAACACATGTACAGATGTAATAACATAAGGTTTACTTAACACATGTACAGATGTGATAACTAATACAAAAATATCGGTAAAAACATTTTTTATATTCATTTTTCTTATCGTTAACTACACAGCCAATCACAAATCGTTTTGACAGACCGAAGATTATTTCTGGCAAAAACGAAATGGCAGATATTGTCATGGCATTTGATATCTTGAAAAGTGGATAAACACATAGATTCTGTCAATGTAATCTTTTAATTCATCCATTGCTTTGGGTGGTCTGGCGGCACGGGTGGCCCAGCGCAGAGTTGCGCAGAGTTGCGTCCCTTGGGCACGCCAGAAACCTATGATTGTGGGTTCGAATCCCGGTTCGCCCCGATTATGTTTCTAGGTTTGTCAGCACCATACCCGTTCTCGTGGGTTTCACCGAACTGGTAAACGTCGGAGACCTGCATCACTTCGGGCTTTCCTCCCACATTAAGCTGACACGCCGTGATATAACTTGAATACTGTTAAAAGCGGCGTTAAACCAAACTCACTCACTCACTCACTGGGGTGGTCGGGGAGCCTAATGGTTACCGCATACCTAGTCCATCCTCGCAGTAATATTGATGGAATGTTAACAAAATCAGATTAAAATCCTACTCATCCATTCACTATTTGTCTTAACTAAACGAAACCCTCACTCTAATGACTATGCAATATATGTGTGCGATTTTCGTGTTATGTTAATTGGGAGTCCATGGGATGTAACCAACAAGACTGGAAACACCGGTACACAGCTGGTAGTGTTGTAAGTGTTGATGCCCAACATGCGTACAATGTGTTAAGCCATCATCTCGCGATGATATAACTGGAATATCACCGAAAGCGGCGTAAAACCATACACTCTCAAGCTGTAACTTTCAACACAACAGATATCCACGGTTTCGTTACTCGTTCAGTTTCACACCAGTGCGGATATGACCTAGGTGCTTAGGTCGTATTGCGTTCTAACATAAGAATGTTTACATTAACACACAAAATGTTCATCTAGCGTGAATATGTATCAAACTGGACAGAAAGTGTACAGACAGGCTCTATGCATATTTTACGCATTTTATCACGTTTACATCTTGCATCTTTTTTTGTAACACGTTTGCTGTAAACATAGGTGGAGTCTGTGTCAGTCGACAATAAGGTTGAAACGCATAAATACAGAGAACCAGCTAAACGTAAATTGATGTCAAGATCTTAAGTCTCGTAGTAATGCGTATTAACGTTATAATGTGAAAAAATGTTTTGGATTTACATAACTTATAATATCAATAATCGGAAATGGTGATTTTAAGTTCCAATTAAACTGCAATCGTATCCAGCTAAAGGAACAGTCAATTTGAGTTATTCGGTGATAGCGTGTGAAGAATCTCAAGGTTAAAAAAGATCTCCGAGGCAAACGCATAGATTTCTGTACTTTCAAAAATATGCATTTGAAAAACATGCAAACACAAGGCACAAAACTGTAACAATAGCTAGATTATATAACATTATATATGCACCTAACATTCAAGGTTTGTGCACAAAAACTATACACAAGCCAATCCATTGACCCCCCCCCCCCCCTTCCCTCCACAACACAATCAGACCAAATCACTTTGTTGTTTTTATAATTATCTGACATATATTTCCTTGCTTGCCCAATTGAGCTTTTTTGGTTTGATTAAAGATCACATGATCATTCCATCCCTATGTTGCTAAACGAATATATGAGGTTATTATCAATAGGAATGTAGAACCCCGCAGCTGAAGTGTGTTGATTTACATGATAAATGGCAGATTTGTTGTTTGTATACCGAAGCCTCACTTTATGTATAATATTTTATAAGACAGTGACATCTTGCCTTGAGGTTTCTCGCGTCTTACGTCATCAGTGAATGAGTAGACAATTATGCTGTCAATCAGCGCAGTGATGGATCTCTCAAGACTGAGACAGATAAGTAGATCATTATTGCGTCAATGAGTTTGCTATCTTACTTATTCATATGAAGAACTCACATGTAAGACTTTACTTGTAAACTAAAATGTCAATGAGTAACACACACACACACACACACAGATATATATTACTAGTTTTTAACACGTTTTAACAAATCATAATCGTAATGAGTAAATATTACAATTCTATGCTGCTGCTGAAGATGACAATGACGTCCACGACTCGTTTAAAATCAATAGCTAGCAATAACATCCCAAGAAAAAGGTCCTATATAAAAATATCCGATGAAGTGATTAATATGTTCTGAATCTACATAATAACATGGAAGTTAACCTTATTGGGTTGCATCGTATGTCACCATCAACCTCTATTGAACGTAAATGTTTTCTTCAAGGTGCAATAAAAACATTTAAACACAGGGGCACCTGTATATTCTACACAGCATGTATAAACATGATACAAAGAGACAGCGCGTATCATTTAAAGTATACTAGCAAGTAAGATTATAATAAAAATCTTCAACATGCCATGATGGAATGACGTACCTGTCCTCCTCAGTGAAGTGACACTTAGAGTGTCACAGCAGGCACACATTTCCTGCATGCGCCCCAAGCACAAGTATCCTTGTAAACAATGCAACCTAGTACTCCATTTAACATGAACTCGCGGAAAACAACACCATGTACATCATGTTCTCAAACACGTTTCACTTTCAATACAAACAGCATGACAGGGATTAAAATAGACAGGTCGTGAAGTCAATTTACATAATTCAAAACATACAGCAGGGAAAATGTGTAAATACCTTCTATATTTTAACCAAGCGCGTCAGCGGCAGTGCTTGTGGTTGTAGATGAAGAATGTTCCAAGTGGTGATGGTATACATACACCATAAACCGAGTTTATCTGTCCACACCCAAAAACCGAGTAGTGTTTCTCAGGCGACAGGAGCATCAGCGGCTACTGTGGTGTCTATGACCTGACGTCAAGTCATAAATCTAGTCTCGCTCTGTGCTCTAAATTTCCTCTGACAGCTTGAATTGTGTTCGTTGCTAATACGAATGACGTCATCGCTTAACAAAATGCTAACATTACGTAATGGCGTCGGTTGTGATTTGAGAGAGTAAACTTTATTGTTGTTATTGTAAAATAGAATGTATTTTTGGTTTGTATACAGGTCCTCAGCTACGATCTCAGCCATATCTGAGATGGGTTTGGCCTAAAATGTCATTCGTGGCAATTTTTCACATAAAACTGTTTCCGTTTCTTTTGATATCTTGTTATAATATGTTATCATTATAGTAACCAACTTCATATACAAATCTGTGAGAAACATATCAAAATGGCAACATTCATACTGCTGTAATCATGCGTCGTTATGTTCATTTTGAGCTTGCGCAGGTTTGTTCACACGCATGTGTGTTCATGCGTGCGTGAGTATACTGTAATAATAATATATTATTATTATGATTATTATTATTATTTACAGATTAAAATATCAAATGAAGCAACGAGGGTTTAGGTGATGCTAGCACAATCAGGCTGGTAGGGATCATCATCAGCTCAGGGTCGCAGCCCAGACATCAAATGGAACTTCTCCCAGGAAGCGCTGCCTAGTCGAACCCATCCAGAACTTTTCGGAGAATGTGAAGACTCCCCAACACTGCTGTCTTCTGCATTGCCCTGATTGTCATACTGGCTGTGTTCAAAGCAACAAACCCGGGTACTCTCCTAATGTCAGTCAACACATTGGGGGGTACCAAACTTACATGTAAGGGACCGAAAAAAATGAGGAGTAGGACCACTTGGTACTTGGGATGCAAGCGTGACATTTAGAAAGCGAGGTCCGCATATTTGTCATGTTTTCCTTAAACTTGTCAATCACATTAGTGTCAAAAGGGAAGAAAATGCAATTATATAAAGGATTTCATTGGACTTTCTCAAAAGGACAAGATCGGGTTTGTTGTCCTGGGTATATCTTAGACTGTACAAGGGCTTTTTCCTAGGTGTTTTGTATTAATCATTTTCAATGACGACCTCGTCATATTTTTGGTCGTACCATGGATGGACCTCTGGATGGAGTCAAAACAAAACGCATGACGCAGACGGTAATAAAAAGATCATGTCACTTAAGATACTACGTTTGTGCGAAAGCTGGGCAAACACTGACAACGTGTTGGATACTCTCATTAAATTCATTGCATAATCTATATTTCATGTATACATTTTGATGCAAAATCACATATTGACGGTGACTGGTCCTGAGCAGCAAACAGATTCAGGCCAGAACTCTGCAGGGTTGCCGAACTTCTCAACACACTGCACATATACTCGATGCAGTGGTCGTTCAGATAGCCTCTCCTTGAAAAACTGAATCTGGGCTGATTTTATATGGCACTGATTTAACTTAACTTAATTAATAGTTTCATCAAACTGTATTACACATTACGTTTAATTCCAACCTGGCAGTTTACATTTTATAAACTATCTAATGTTTAAATGAACCCCCCAAAAACATCACCAACAACAACAACAGCAACGACATACAAACTTGGTATTTGAAATGTATACATACACACAGAAAGAAACAATGCTATTTTATGTTGATCGTTCTTAACATGATATAAGCAGTTGGAAAAACCTACCAGGGAACACCCTCTTCGTAGTCCTCCTATCATAACGTCTAGCCACTAGGTGGTGTCGTAAACCTTTCACTGCTGCAGTATTTCTGCAACTGGGGCTCGCGTCGGTATGACAAGTGTTGGCAGCCAGTCTACATGCCTCCTTTACAGAATGTGCACACTCGGAGGTCATCGTGTACGTGCCGTCACATTAAAGGCAGCCCTGGGGGGGCGTGGGTGTAGTAAGGATGCACCATCACGGATATAGAAATGATATGTTTAATTGGTCTGTTACAAGTTAGTGTCACACAATCAATCACCATCTTCAAAATCGCATGGGCTGCTGGTACTGTAAAGAAGGTGTGACATAAACCATCTGTTAAAGCATGGCAAGTTTGGTATTTCTGGTACATGTTGGCTTCGATTATCTCCCTAAACCAATCGTCATATCTCTACCATTTTTGGGTGCTATCGTTCGGCCACAGCGTTTATTTACATTGCCTAGCTATGCGAGCGCATATCCGAGAAATATATCAGAAATAACGTCATGATAGAACATTGTTTTATCGTGAAATAAACCACGCATCGTTCTTTGTTATTGCAGCTATCTTATATTAAACATTACACTAAGGTTACATGTAGGTTATCATAACTCACTAAACTAAGGTTACATGTAGGTCTCGATTACTCACTAAACTAAGGTTACATGTAGGTCCCTATTACTCACTAAACTAAGGTTACATGTAGGTCCCTATTGCTCATTACACTAAGGTTACATGTAGGTCACCATTACTCATTACACTAAGGTTACATGTAGGTCTCCATTACTCATTACACTAAGGTTACATGTAGGTCCCTATTGCTCATTACACTAAGGTTACATGTAGGTTCCGATTACTCACTAAACTAAGGTTACATGTAGGTCCCTATTGCTCATTACACTAAGGTTACATGTAGGTCCCCATTGCTCATTACACTAAGGTTACATGTAGGTTATCATAACTCACTAAACTAAGGTTACATGTAGGTCCCCATAACTCATTAAACTAAGGTAACATGTAGGCTCCCATTACTCATTAAACTAAGGTAACATGTAGGTCCCCATAACTCATTACACTAAGATTACATGTAGGTCCCCATTTCTCATTAAACTAAGGTTACATGTAGGTCCCGATTACTCATTTCACTAAGGTTACATGTAGGTCCCCATTACTCATTACACTAAGGTTACATGTAGGTCTCGATTACTCACTAAACTAAGGTTACATGTAGGTCCCTATTACTCACTAAACTAAGGTTACATGTAGGTCCCTATTGCTCATTACACTAAGGTTACATGTAGGTCACCATTACTCATTACACTAAGGTTACATGTAGGTCTCCATTACTCATTACACTAAGGTTACATGTAGGTCCCTATTGCTCATTACACTAAGGTTACATGTAGGTGTCCATTGCTCATTACACTAAGGTTACATGTAGGTCCCCATTGCTCATTACACTAAGGTTACATGTAGGTTATCATAACTCACTAAACTAAGGTTAGATGTAGGCTCCCATTACTCATTAAACTAAGGTAACATGTAGGTCCCGATTACTCATTTCACTAAGGTTACATGTAGGTCCCCATTACTCATTACACTAAGGTTACATGTAGGTCCCGATTACTCACTAAACTAAGGTTACATGTAGGTCCCGATTACTCATTTCACTAAGGTTACATGTAGGTCTCCATTACTCATTAAACTAAGGTTACATGTAGGTCCCGATTACTCATTTCACTAAGGTTACATGTAGGTCCCCATTACTCATTACACTAAGGTTACATGTAGGTCCCGATTACTCACTAAACTAAGGTTACATGTAGGTCCCGATTACTCATTTCACTAAGGTTACATGTAGGTCTCCATTACTCATTAAACTAAGGTTACATGTAGGTCCCGATTACTCATTACACTAAGGTTACATGTACATGTAGGTCCCGATTACTAACTAAACTAAGGTTACATGGAGGCTCCCATTACTAATTAAAGTAAGGTTACATGTAGGCTCCCATTACTCATTACACTAAGGTTACATGTAGGTGTCCATTGCTCATTACACTAAGGTTACATGTAGGCTCCCATTACTCATTACACTAAGGTTACATGTAGGCTCCCATTACTCATTACACTAAGGTTGCATGTAGTTCCTCAGTACACTTATGCTACCCTATGTTATCTGTCTCTGCCAGGTGTGGGTCATTGTTTCATAATGTATCAGCCACTGGTTCGTCGGGTCCAGAGTCCTGACAACGGGGCAAAACAATATCCTCTCACGCGGTAACTAAATGTGTACACGCCATGGACCGTTTGTTAGAAATTCTGGGAAAGAAGGCCTACTTCACTATTGCCTTAGTCAAGCCCTGTTTTATTACAACATTTTTCACGGTAGCATTACAAGTACATCGTGTAGGTCCAAGGTGATGGCTAATCTTTTATGTCCCCAGGACAAAAACACAGTATTATGACCGTAGGTGTGGATATGAGAACATTGTCCAGGTCAGACGCCGGGCTGACCTCACGTCTCGCATTCCGACAGACGTAACATATGTGTGTCATGTACGTCATCGCCATTCAGCACGGGCGACCTGGGCGCATGTCCCAAGGTGTGCCACGCGACACAGGCCAAATATGCTCATTGTTCATTTGTTAAATATGACCCATCGGTAACAAAAAGGATGTCCGATGCAATTCCCTATTTTGACTTGTATCGTGTGCTTTTTCACAGGAACAATTGACTTGCTTGTGCATGTGTTTGTGACGGGAGCCACAAATGGGGCATGATACGCTCACCTTTTCGCGACACCTTATATCACCACTCTTTGATTGTGATTCGTTGACGCTTGCTTATGATACATGTATGGTCGGAATCGTACAATCAATTTCTTGTGGCTCTGGGAAGGATTCTGTGACTCTGGAAAGGATTTTATTTTATTCTATTTATAACCATAGTTCAAAAGTCGTGCTTTAAACATTCCGAAACATGAATATGGAAGGGGTTTTGTCTCTTTTGTTTATTGTGGCTTATGTAGACATGTGAATGGATTACCACTTAAAGTACATTGAATAATGTCACAATGTAATGCTTGCAATTCTACCAATCCGGGCACAGTAAGTGTGAGATATGAAGGCGGTTGATTTACATGACTGAATAGTATGATCATATGGTTTGTTGGAATAGTAGCATGATAGAACAGTATTATGGAATAGTATAAGGATATTGGAAATCTATGAAGAAATAGGATATTGAAATATTATGCTTGAATAGTATGTTGGAAAGGTACGTTGGAATAGTTTAT